AGCCTTCTCATTCAATCAAAACGCCCTCACTCCCCTTCTCTTCATTTTTTTCAGTCTTTTCTCCTCTGTCTACCTCCAAGCAAAAAAGAAAAAAACCTTAGATATCAGTTCCATAGAGACAGACTCATATTCAAATTAAACCAGTGGTCTAGGTCTCCAGCTGGGAATAAAAAAACTGTCTTTCTTGGCTTTGTTAAGAAATAGAAGCTTGTGCTTGCATTAAACAAGCTGCCTGTTTAAAGTTAGAGCTATTTTTAGTAGCTATTGACTCGCCTACAGGGAGCAGAGATGGAAAGTAGGTGAGGCTTTGAGCGAGCAGCGTTATGATAATGTAGTTTGCGCTGCAAGTGAGCTAACTCAGCATTTGCTCCAATCTAAATCACATCTTGATTAACAATAGCAATGTTTCGCAGTGTTAGTCCAGCTGGAAAATAGCAGGTGACAATAAAAATGAAACATCTATTTTGTTATTTCTAAATAAAGCTGTAATTAAACAGTAGTTGAACTGTTTAGTCAATTAGATTGAACACTGTAAATGTTTCCTATATGTGCCAGTTACTAACTGGATCATGCAATGTCAATAACCAGAGTTCATACACAGTGTTAAAAAGTGTGTCACTGGATTTAAGTATTTTCCAGTTCTGGATTGTAATGGAAGATTAAAAGATTTAAAATATACTGAGGTTGTTTCCTATCTCTTTTATCAGTATGATAGAAATCCTATTTTTTTTCTCCAAAAGTTGCTCCAACCAGTGTGTTTAAACTAGTAAATAATTAAAAAACTACACATGCATATAGAAAGTTAGTATAAAGCATTTAATATGTTGGTTCTTTAAGACATTTTTATGTGTTCAATATATTTTATTTACCTTTTTTACTATTAAGCATTTATAATAATTTAACTTTCATCTGATTTCCAGATGTTTTAATGTTTCCCTGAAATGCCGGTTTTGGTTAAGGCCAAACATTTCCTTTGTTTTGGGGTGTGTACCTCTTTAAATCCCTCATAAAACTCCTTCAGTCTTCTGTCTTACTTCCACATTCCGGAGCATCAAACTACATATCTGCGGTTTAAACAGGAAAAGCATCTCTAAAATTGCTATCTGTCTAAATATGCTACCAAAAAAAAAAAAAAAAATTGATATTTACAGCTTGATCACTTTGAAAAGTCCAGTGAGACTCTGATTTATATGCACACAATGGAATAAAAATGGACAAAAACCTCTGAATGTTTGACATAATTTATTAATGTATCATTTTAGGTTATATGAACCCTGAAAAATAATGGATACGTTTGTTCCTTTAAATATTTTGGCAGCACAATGAACTATAACCTTACTCGTGATTCCATGTGGCTTCTGCATGTTCTCTCTAGTTGCTTAGCACCATTTTCTATCTGCGTCTACACTGAAAAGAATGGTACTAGTAGAGCAACAGCACTTTGCTGGCGTTGAGTATAGAAATGCTTCCCCCCAGACACTCGGAAAGGGTTATCAAGACAAACAGCCAATTAAAATGTTTAAATCAATTTTTGAATCCCTAGAGGTAATTCCTCTTGCAGCCCACCACAATTAAGAAAACAAAACAAAAACATAAGCAGCATACTGCAGCAGACTGCTTTATTACAGAAACTCTCCATTTTGACTGCTAGATAGTCTTTGCAAATGATTTAAATCGACGTATAAATGTCAATTTGTATGGTAAGGAACAAATTAACAGGACTTTATCAGATTTGTATTTGTTCATTTTTTAAACCCTTATGTTTCATTATTCCTCCACTTTGCAGTTACTAATAATCATTTTAAAATGTATAACTCATTGTAGTTTGTGGCTTTAAAGTCCAAAAAAGTATTTTGAATACTTTTGAGGTCACTGTATTCTACAAAAAGAAAAAAAAAATCAAATGGTTAGTTGATGTATAGATATCAGATATGTTGTATAAGAGCTATGAAGGGGAAATAATTAGATCTAGTATTCAAGGAGAGCTTAAGCACACACTCGATGTTTACCTACTTTGCAAGACCTTGTTTAAGTTTCTTCCATTTTTTTTTTTTTTTTTATCAATAGATGTATCTAATATGAGATATTGAAATTAGATATTTGCACAGCTCTAGACAGTTATCAACCTTCTTTCCCTTAAGGTATTTTCTTGTACATGTCTCCTTGTACATGGGACGCTGTCTCTAACCAGCCTTTATTTGCTCATTCATTATGCACAGCAGAGACAGACAGCACTTCAGACAGCAGACCTCCATCAGTCTGACTGAAGAGGCCATGAGCCCGTGGCTCCATCTCATTGTGAAATCCACTCATCAAGGTTTCAATTTAGCCCAGCAACTCTTTCTCTAGATTACAAGCATTGCAGACAAACAACTTCAGACTGATTTGCACACCAATTAGAAGCTATTAACTAACATTTAAAGAATTTTATTCATTTTAGAACTTTTTTAAAGTTCACATTAAAGCCCCACAGTGCTGTCTTGATGCATAGATTGCATGATTGTGTGTTTGTAGCAGCAGTGTGAGAAAGCTCACCTCAGACAACTTGTGTGCTCTGTAGTGTGACTTGGAGCAGTGCAGCAGGTGGGCGGCCAGATTGCAGTCTTTCCTGTACAAGTCCTGTTAGAGAAACAAAGATGATCCTCCGTCAAAGAAAATACAGATTCTAACAGTTCAATGGTTTGTTGAGTCTCCTGAGGGTTTGCATCCCCCCAGAGATGAATTTGCAACCCTTTTATTCTTTAATAAGAATTACTAAAGGCTTCAAGCTTTTAAAAAGTTGCATTTAAGCAGATGTTTAAAATTATGTATATGGCTGAAGTAACAAATATCTAAGGATTAAAAGTCTCAGCTTAACCATTTATTTAACGTACAGGGCATTCAACTTCACCCATCTTGGTCATCATGTGCATTCCGCACAAATTTGAAAGCAGGAGTGTGATACAATTATTATTATTATTTTTTTTACTACATTGAAATTTTAAATTGTTAAAAAAATTGTACAAGAAAAAGTTTTTCTTCGCCTACATATTTTGTGCTCCTCTTGATTCTAAAAATGGGGTAGGGGACATTGTTTACTCCTGCTTTATGGTGCAAATGGGTAGTCAGGTGGGTGTGGCCAAGGCTGCTTTTGAGTAAAAGTCAGTGGATGTTTGTGGCCTTATTAACATTCGTATCAAATTGAAAGAAAAAACTGCAGTTGGCTTAAATAATTTATTAGTGCTTTTTCTTTTAATGAAGGTTATTATTTCTTTGCTTCTTTATTTAAAGGGCTTACCTTACTGAATATTTCAACCTTTATGTGTCGACAGAATAATAATAATGAAAATAAGAATAATCCATGTTATTTATAAAGCACTTTTCATGCCAAGGAATCTGAGTGCTAACTTGCCAATATGAAATCCCCAAAATGATTTGGAGATGCTTAAAAAAGCGAAAATTAAATCAGCTGCTGTTCTTTAACCCTTCGGATGGTCTAGCATGCCGTATAAAACTGTTGTAATGGCGGACAGTAGCATTATTTTGGCGGCTTGAGGCTGGAAATTTGGAAACAACATATACATCCTATTGATAGAACATGGCAGTTAATGTGCTAAAAACAAAAGAATAGAAAAACAAAAACAAACAGAAAATAATTAATAACTGAAAGACTTTATGTCTCTGTTTTGTTCTGTTAGTCACAAGGAGAGAAATTAATAATATAGGCTCAATAATTTACAAACACATACGCATGCATCCCTAATAATCTTTAAAAACACCCAAGAGAGCGGAAATGAAACCACATAGTTCCTCTAGATATGAATCCTCACACATTCAGCTGAATATTGACCCTCCACCTGAAATGATAAGTTCCTGTAGCCAAAAAGACAGATTCAGCTGTTAAGCCTGGTAGTGTAACATCACGTTTATGGGTCTGCTCTGCTGTACAAAGATAAGGAACAGCACACATAGTTCTAAACATATTAAAAGTTTACAGTTAAAGGCTTCTAGCTGGAGAACACACTTCCAGCTCCAAAGCATAATGAGGTGATAAACATGTTAATGCTCCATTTGGCTTCCAGTGGTATGCCTGGATTTATCAAAATGGGTAAATGATAAAGAAGAAAGAATATGTACAACTTCTTCAGTTTGGCCGCAAATCAGGAGCTGGATGGTTTACATGCTGATAGCATCATGCCGAGGGTCAGAAAGTCATGCAGTGCACAAACTGGATGAATTCATGCAGAACGAAAACTGCCTCCACCTTATTTTCTCCTCTTCTAATTTAGCAAACAATAAACTGTAAATGTCTGAAACTTGAATATTTATCCAAAAAAACATCTAAATATGTCTGGGAATTGCTAAAGCAAGTCAACGCTAGGCTACCTGGAATAGCCCAGATCTTTAACTGTATGATTTAAAAAAAACAAGTAGTTCCATTTTACAAAGCCAACCCATTTAAACTTATAATAAAAGACCCAAACCAATAGTATTTAATTATTTACACCCTAAGAACCTAAAAGCAACGTGTTCCCTAATTCATAGTATTCATGTCACAGAGGAGTTAATATAAAGCTCTCAACAGGAGTATAATTAATAGGAGGGTCTTATTGTCTATCAGACAAACACCCACATGATTCAGCTCAAACTAGAAGAGTTATGGTTATTCTGTCATATCTTTTCCTAGTTTGACATACGAGGCTGGCAGGATGTTAAAACGATAACCAAAGTTTCATTTTTAAAATATCCCCTATCTATGCAGTGCAGGCTGTGCTAATTTAGTTTGAGCTGTTTTAAAGCCGCACATTTAGTTATCTGCACCCTCCAGAAGGGAGAAAAAGAGGAAAACTACTTATTCTGTGCTCCCCCGCATTAAAACGTGATTTAATAAAAAGATTTGAATTAATATTTCACATAGGATAATAAAGGTTTCATGCCCCTCTATCCATTTTCCTCTGGCTTTTTTCATATATTTGCTTTGGTAGCTTTTCTCTCTCCTTGTGCAGTTAATTTGTCTGTTTAAAAAGGTCAGTTTTTGCACCAGCGAACCCTCCTGCCTCTCTGTGTCACAGAGCATCTCTGATAATTGAACCGTTCTTTGTCGGTTTCTTTTAAACAAATAATATTCTGAAACAACTTTAGATTGTTTTTGTACATTCTTATTGCATAATCAATATAAGGCTGGATTTATCTTTTACAACTTTTAGAAAACTTTAATGCTGCATGGTTGTTTTTTCAATAAACATTAAACATAGAAAATATAAAAAATCTTTTCGTAATCCCTTGAGTTTAGTTTTTAATTTCTTACAAATAAAGACTTAGTGACTTAAATTTTAAAGCTACTATATTGGTTTCCTTTCATTAACCAGTTGAAATGGCTAAAGTTTCAATAATGAAGTAATTTCTAAAAGATGAATGTTGGGATTATTGTTTACCTTTGCAGCTGAGACTTTGAGGATCTTACTTGTGAGGTTTATTTTTCCTCAGGATAACCTGGTTTGCGTTCAAGAATGTCAGTCATTTATATGCAAGTTCTTAGCCATATTTAAATAAATGTTTTTTATTATTTCTAATAAATTTAGTGTAAAGATATAAAAGAATCTGTCCCATCAAATAGTATTGTTTTCTCTTTTTTGTTATAATTTAATGTTTCCTATTATAAAACAAAACAAAAAAAAAACAAGTCAAATGTTGATCATATCTCTCAATAGCAGGGCAAAAACTATAGACTGTTACAGAATTGAAGTAGCTGGGATTGAGTTGGAACTCAACTCTTAGCTTTGATCACATATCAATAAAACGGGTGACGGTTCCATGGGCAGCGAAGAAGGGGTCGATCAGGCAAGAAAACTGGATCGTTTTTCTCATCTACTTCAGAGCAGAGTGGATCACAATGAAGGGACACTACGTTCAATTTTCTCTGAATCGTAGGGAAAAAAGCAGCAAAAAGACTTCACCAATGGAAAGGTTGCCACAAAGCGTGGCTTCAGCTGAAGGCTGGCGTGTCTCACCTATCAGACCCGGGGGTCACTGGGCAAAGAGGAAGAAAACGGGGAGTTGGATGCTTTGGTAATCTCTGTAACGGGGATGGGACGTCACGGGGGAGTCGCTCTTACTTCCATCGTTTACCATTTGATCACCAAAATATGCATCTAGCAACAGTAGAGAGAAAAAACTCCCTTTTAACAGGAAGAAACCTCCAGCAGAACCAGGCTTAGTGTGAGCGGCCATCTGCCAAAGCCGACTGGGGTTCAATGAGACATCTCTCTTATCAATTTAAAGGCGGATTTGCTTGTGGGAATTAGACATTATTCAGCTGTTCAACCCAACTTCTGTTGGGCTAAGCTTAATAAGCTAATAACCTGGTAATTGACCCTCAAATTATTTTGGTAGAAAGCAGAATTAATCAGCTACAGCTAGGCGTCTCAGCCCGGAAGCAGAAAAGCGAGGGGTTGTAACCTTGTAACTCTTCTCTGGAACTAATTTTTGTCTATTTTTTTCTTTTTTGCATTGTTAAATCATGAACAAAAAATTTTTATGGTAAAAAGGCAGCCTGCAGTATTTTAGGTGTTGCTCTGGGTTATTTTTGTAGTTTTCTGTTGCTTATTTAGAGTATTTTTAATAAGCTACTCATGGGAAAATTAAGTTCTGATGCTTTCTCTATTTAAAAACCAACTCTTATTCACTGGATCTCTAAAGGATAATATTGAAAATGACACTAACTTGCTTCCTATATTTTCTTAAATTTCTTTAGATAATTGTTTGATGTATTACTTTTTATTGTTTTCAAACATCTTCTCAATTTCTTGATTTTGTAGGGCTACTAGAGATCAGGTTTGGGTTTAGTTGGTATGAATACCTTTTGTTGTTTATGGATTATACCATCATTTGAAAACTGCATTTATCTGTTTATACTTGTCTAATAGGGGGACAGTGGCGTCGGATGTAGGAGTTTGCCCTGAAATCGAAGGATTGACGGTTCAAGCCCTAAGCTACAATGTAGCTTGCCACCATCAGTGTGTGAGTGTGTGCGTGAATGGGTGAATGACTGAATGTAGTGTAAAGCGCTTTGGTCAAGTCTCCTGACTTGAAAAAAAAAAAACGCTATGTAAGTACAGGCCATTTACCATTTACCATAATATTTAAACAATCTGGATGATCTGTAACACTGAAGTTAGACAAAGTAACTAAACAAAGAAGCATTCTGTAAAGAAGGAAAACATATTTTTCCCCCAGCGTTAAACATCTCCCTCTCTGTGTTCAGTAGAGAACACTCTGAACTTGCTCTCTAGAGGAAATGTCTGCCTAACTGCTGGCTCAGATGGATTGAGGGGAATAGGCAAAGTGCTATGTACCTCAGAAGTGCTAATAAGGGCCATAGAGAAGAGAGAGGAAGAGAAAAAAAAGACCCAACCTAACTTAGAGTCTCTCCGCAGATAGCCAGGGAAATCACTTCAAAGAAAGAGAGGCACTAGATTGCCATGTGCCCTAGAGCTCAGAATCATGCAGCCACGGCGCCTACTTCTCCCAACCCTAAGGAAGCCCATTGATTTCTGTATAATCACTATAAAACACCCAGTGGCTTAGAGTTAATTCCTCTATCTGCTGTTGCACCTTGAAGCACAAATATCAAGAATGTTGCAGAAATACAGAGGGTATGACTTAAAGCAAGAGTGTATCAATAGCAGGGGGGGGCAAAGTGGCGGGAGGAAGCAGCTTTTTGGAGAGTTGTCATTTCAGTTTCCAAATCCAAATACTGTTTCTGGGGCTAACTAGGCAAAATCACTGACCAAGCAATGAAATCAGCGGTCCCAGAGCTGCAGATCTTTTCCACCGTAAAGGCTGTAAGCCACTTTTTAATTTGTTGCACAGCAGGAAAAAACAGCATTTATGCATACTTTAGCAAGTTCGATCATTCAGAAACTTCATAGCTGTGTAAATCGCTTTCTGAAAACACTCACATTGTCCTCTCTGAGTTTGTTGATGGTGATCTTTGCCTCCATGAGGTGGTTGTTGAGAACAATGATTTCCCGGCTGAGTGCTCTCTTTTCGTCTTCGTGGTGCTGAGACTGCAGCATGAGATAACAGACAGACAACGTACAGGAAAAGAGGAATTGGAGAAAAAAGACAAAAAAAAAGAAAGCAAGAGTGAATCAGTGTAGATTATAGATGAAGGTTGAATTGTAAAGAGTTAAATGAAAGAGGTGAGATAATGAGAACAATAGAGCCAACGTTAGCAGAGAAAAAGAGAAAGAACAATGTTGATAATGAGGAAAAAGATAAGAAAGGGCAAGAAAAATGAAAGCAAGAAAGACTTAAGTGAGTGAAAGTGATGTTTTCAGCACATCTTAATTAAAAGAAGATTACACTTGCCAGAGCTCATATCATATCAATTACCCTGGGAGAACAAGAATAAGGCACAGAGAAAGGAGAAAGACGTGGTAAAAATAAAGTGGTGAGAGACGAATGAAACACTCGTTTTATATTTCTGTGATTTCTGTCAAATAAATGGAAATTTACTGCTGGGTGATATTTAAGTTCTAACAACAGAGATTAATGACAGTAGAGTCTGTCTCTAGTCTCTCACCAATATTTGCTGCCATAGTGACACATTGGATGTCAGGTCATACAGTTTTGCTGTAATTCATTAAACACTGAAATACAGTTCTGCTTTGCAAACATTCACGTCATCTAACTCTTAATCTTAAACTTATCGTGTTTGTATGATACTGATTTGTTTAGTAAATCACAAAAGTCTGTTTTGGCATTTTTACAACAGCCATTTAAAAGTCTTAGCCATGTTTAATGTCATCCAACAAACAACAAGACTTTGAATTAGAGGAAGAATAACGGAACAAGTTTATAAGCAGCTGATGTTTTTTTATTCCATCATAGGACCTCCTTTAGTTTTTACTTCTTGTTGACTTTTATTCTGTTGGATTTAAAACTACTATCGTTTTTCAGATCTATAACCTAATGCAGGTTCAGCTTTCTGTTCAGTTTGATGATTGAAGATTTAAAAGTTTGATTAAATATAATATAGAGAAAAAAATAAGATGTAAGTGCATGTCTTTGCCCAGCAAATGTCGAAAAATAGACGTATATCCATCTAATTCTTAATGTAAAGAGAAATACACATCAAACTAAAACATGAATGGCTGCTCACTATATATACAAATCACAGAAAGTGATCTGTTTAAAGACAGATATGAAAATGCTGCAAGCAGTCTTGATCTGGCTATACTTTGAATGTTACACCTGTCAGGACTCCTGTCTGTTAGTGTTTTCTGTGTTTATCTCCCTTCCTCCACCAGGAGGCGCCTGGTTCTGGTCCGCCTCCTCACACACCTGCTGATGGCTACTTCGTTAAAGGAGTGTTCTTAAGCTGCTGACTGCCACTACCTCGACGACAGAGTGTTTGCCAGTTTTGGGTACTCTAGCCAAGCTGAGTTTTGCAGAGTCAAACTGAGTTCTAGTCAACATGAGTTTTAACTTTGTTTTTGTCTTTGCCTCTCGGCAGGAAGTCATCCTGCAAACTGGGTTTTTCTGACCTTCTCTCCCTGGAAGGATACCTGAGCTACAAACTGAGCTGGGGTTCAAACAGGAGGTTTGGATCCACTTTCCCCAAGAGATCGTTTGAGCTTCGCTCTGAGAAAGGGATTAATCTCCACTACGACCCGTTCAAGTACAGCAGGAAATCTGAGTGGCAGTCAGTTTCTCCGTTCACCTATTAACAACCGCATTCTGGGTAAACCCTGTTCTGCCCTCCATTAAATCAGACAAACTCTGGAACCACAGCATACAGAGTCACCAATCAAATCCTCTTCTCCAAGTTCACGAGTCAAATTTCCCACTGAGCCTGAACTAACCCCTGTGTCTTCCCCTCACTTTTCAGTTCTGGTTGACCAGTGTTCAGAGCAACACTTCTCCCTGTATTATCTCTTCAATAAACCTGTTAAACCTTTTCCCTGCTCTCCCTGTTTTGGTCTTCTGCATTTGGGTCTGAACCTTAGCAAAATCATGACAACACCTTTTAGCCAGGAGAATTTCCGTGTCTGCTTTCTTGTATGTAAGAACTTGTCGGACATCCCATTTTATCCTCTCGTTTTAAAGCGTTTACAAATAATATCTCAGAATGCATAAAAATTACAATGTTAAAATGTTTACCAATATGGTATTGTTAGAAAGCTTAGATTTTCCACAATTCAACTGCCAAGTTCATTTTATGGACAGCGAGTGCCAAATCACAATTAACACAGATATACTAGCATGTCAAAATATACCATGACTAAGCAGCCACAACAAGCAAGCATGTCTTTATTACTGCTGTGCAAAAAGACTTGGGTGTTTTACTCACACAATTTCCATGTATATATTCAGAAACTAGAAGGTGTTAACTTTCAAATTATGTATCACACATGTAATTTGGGCTTACAGTTCCTAAGTTATTTGCTTTTCCATTTGGGTATGTAAAATAAGCGAGAACTTCCCAAAATGAGGTGGATATTAAGAGCGTATTCCACACGAGTTATTATGATATTGTCATAGTTTTGGTTCTATTTTGTCTCTGGTTTTCTTTTCGGGTTTTCATTGGTTTTATTTTCCTTTTGTTATTCTAGCTGTTTTTGGTTGTATGTGAGTTTTTATGTATTTCTTGTTTGCCCTCTGTTACTCTTCTTGTGTCATCCTCCTAGCTCCCTTCTAGATTTCTCTGTCCACACCTGCTCCCAATCTGCTGATTAGCCTGGTCTTTTTTCAGTCTCTCATTTATACTCCTCCTCTTCAGTTACTGTTGGCTGGCTCCTCATTGTTTCTTGGCTCTTCATGTGTGTTTTCCCTGATGTCTCCTGGATTATGGTTTTCCTTTATTCATTTTTGGATTTTTGCTTATGTTGCCAACTTTTGGATATTAAATCTGCAAGAAACCACCTCAGCTTCTGTCTCTGCATTTGGGTCCTCTTCAAACCTCCACACAACCTGAAAGATATTTGTCCATCCTTTCATTTAAATTTTATTACTATTACCGCAAGGCTTTCTACAGGAATAAGGTGTATTTTTATTGCAACATTTTCATTTCAGATATTAATTTATGACGGCAGAACCTGATTTTCTACCGTAAATGATTCCAAATATGTCACATCTCATTGATTTCAATACTTTTCAGGCCAATTCAGTTCTTCCACAGCAAACTCGCTCAACTCAATGTCTTTGAGGACTTAAGTCTATGCAGCTCTCATGTTATTACCTTTCTCACTTGTTAAAATGTATTTGTCCAAGATATATTGAAATACCTTTCACTAGAACTAAGATAACCTCACATCATAAACCCCTCATACATTCTTTAAGAATTCTTCCAATGTTTTACAGCTAATCCTATTAAAAACGTATCTCATGTTGTTTGAATCAAATGGATGACATTATAAATAATTTTACATTTTTTCCAGTCTTGAGCTGTTCGTTTAAAACATTTATGAAGGCCATCCCAGACATAAGGCTATTTTTGTCACTTTAGTGTTCGGATTCAGCATTGAGTGCATTCTGTCAGCAAAGACAAGCTTCTAAAGCTTGTAAGCATTAAGCCAAATGCTTACATCAGCTAAACATGATCAACCCGATTGTGTTTGAATATTATCATTAGTACTATTTGCTTTATTAATGTTATGTTGTTATGGAGCAGATATTATGCACAAGTGGCTTGCATGCTTCTTTTGTAATATAAGGCTTAAAAAACTTGATTAAAGCTTAGTTCTACATAATAACATATAACTAGCATTTCACATGCACAGAGCTAGAAACTGGTTGGTAATCCTAGTTACTATTCTATTCCTTTTTGTCTCTCTCTTGTTGTAGCAACACACACTCACATACAAAGTAGTCTTTTTAAAAGCAGCTGCAGAACAACAGTTGATAAATGAATCCCTCACTCAGCCTCCCACCTTTTCTCTTCTAGTACCTTGGAGGTGGTGATTGTTTTGGAATAAAGTGAAACAGAACCTTTCGATTAGGTGGCAATTAATGCTATAACTCCAAAAATGAACCGGCACTGATATTCAAATCTAATCCTGTTTTAGATTCATTATTCGGCCTAGTTTCCCTTCTTGTCTGTTTCCAGCTTGCAGATGACCTCTCTATGAATTTTTGGAAGCCTACAAATAATTCATTTGTTGTCCTCTTTATTTACAGAATTATGGTTGAGTACTGTACTCTATTAAACAAGTACAATTTACATTCAGGGTTGTGTTTTCTATCTAACAGTTTTAAGCCTGTCCATCTGTAAACGTCTCGTTAGAATGTAGATGTTTATTTATTCATTCATTAACACAAAACAAGCATTTTGATGTGTGCTTGGTGCCCACAGCCCACCTGCTCAATTTCCAACATTTACTCTCCTTTTACTATTGTTTAGTCTTTACCTGCTCCTGAGGGAAATATCTGTTTTAGCTGCTAATTGTGGCTGTGTGCTTACTACCCGACGGCTAACTGTGTCTTTGTGCTGCGTACCCTGATTCCTAAATGGTTCATCAGGGGCCGTTTTTTTTAAGAAGCAGCTGAGTTAAAGTATGATCCAGGTGATTCCGATGCAATGAAAGAGAGAGAGAGAGAGAAAAAAAGAAAACTAATAATAAAACTCATAAAGCTGCTACTCTCTTTATAATTCTGTACAGTTTCATTTCTTGGTTAATTCCTTTTAAATTAAGAAATTTTTACAGAATGAAAATAAATATAAACTTTAAAGTCATGTAATTAAAAAAGGCCTAATTAACAAAAAGGTGTAATTACTGACAATTTCTAAAGCAGTACAATCTCCTTCATTATTGCAACTGTTTTCCACATGCTGCATAGTTTATTTCTGCACTAAATTAACAACAAATATTGCATTAAATACATGCAGATTCAAGCAAACCAATCAGGACCATCAGATAAAAACAATCTGGGCGTATTTTTGGATCAAACTGCAGTTTTTCTCCTTGGCTATGGACACAGCAGATGCTGAAGTGATAAAAAAATTGAGAAAAGTGTTTTTTTCTTACTTTTCCTAATATTTTATTTAATATGGTCTTTTTCACAT